TTTGCATGGTCCCCGAGACTGACTGCTTAACGTGCTCTCCGAGGCTGTAATCAGCTTCAATCTGTAAACATCGAACGAATCGTTAATATTTTTATGACTATGTTCCAATGTAATAAAATTATAGATATTATCGGCGTAAATCTAGATATTTTATCGCTTTTAACACAATGAATAAGTATATATAAATGCAAAACTTCTTAATCTAACAATAGATGTCGTTAGGTCTTCAACGTCACCTATTCTTCAATCCTTTGGCAGCCATCATTGCGAAGCCAAATTCGCATGGCGTTGGAGTGTTCACCCATCAAAATGGAGCGAGTTAATGTCCTGCTCCGAGAGATTTTTTTATACTAGCTTTTGCCCGCGGCTACGCCCGCGTGTATGTCGGTTATAGCGGTAAAATGTAGTTAATGTCCTTTCTCAAGAATCTTTAGCTGTTATAAAGTTTAGCTGTTATTGATTTCCCATACAAACTTCCTTATCCCTTTTCACCAGCTTAAAGGATGATTTCTGGGATAAAAACTATGCAATGTTTTTCCTGGGACTCGAACAATCTCTAAGTCAAATTTTATCTAAATCAGTTCAGCTGTTTAAGCGTGAAGAGGCAACAAACAGACAAACAGACAGACACACTTTCACATTTATAATATTAGTATGGATATATTCCTTAAATTTAGATGAGATATTGTGTGTAACCAATTACACATAAATAAAAATTACAACTTTTTGTATGGCTGAAATGGTTATTTAGCCTTCACCCTATGGACGATTGAGACTACGCCCTTTAAGTCCCTCCCCCTGATTCTAGTAGCTGGACTCAAAGGGCGGCAAAGCCCTTGTGGCTCTTGACTTGCCGTGACATGTGCTGAGAAGGGGGATCAGTTGAAATAATGTAAAAAATAGATCACATAACATGGGTACATACCCTAAGTATTCGACCTAGACTAAACAGGTGTGTATAAGTAGTTAACGCATTATATACTCCGTTTTAATACTAGGTACTTCAATGGAGATCACTCGAATGTTTATCTATCGGTATAATCTGTAGTATCTCACACAATACCGATTCACATATTATCACGACAATGAGTGTATTATCTACTAGTTATAGTTTTATGATTGATACAAGGTGTTCTTTGTACAGGAAGCGGTACATGAAAGTAATAAATTAAAAAAAAAAACCTTGCTCTCATAAAACCTAAGAGGTACTTCTATATTATTAAAAACTTTGTAACACAATATTTTTAAAATTTTACATCGGCACTTTCTCACACAAACTTTTAAATATACAACATTCCAGCATCTCATTCGCAAAATCGGCGTTCAAAAATATTTCTTCATGTACATATACTTAAAAAGTTTCTACATACACACAGAAAATTTAAAACTATCACATCATCACCACAGCCTTTAATAGTCCACTGCGGTACATAGGCCTCTTCTTAGAAAGGAGCTTTTGGCCTACTATACCACGTTGGCCAAACGGTTAGGGTATATGTCAAGTTTTCCTTCTTTGCACTGCAGCTGTCCTGCATAGTTTACTCTCTTAGTCGGCTCTTACGAAACCCACTAAATGAATAATCCGTCCGAATTCTTAATCCGTCACCTCACGGATCCCCTCCCGTCCCCTCCCCTTCCCAAACTAAACCAACTTTTAACATTTCTCTGTATATTATATATATTTATCTACATAATGTATGTATTTTATATGTATACGAGAATTAATAATAATAATATTTTTACACATCTAACACACGACCGTCTGATCACAAATTAGACAGAGCCTGTATTATTATAACAGGCTGATAAACATACCTAAATATTTTAATATAATTAACGCAACCTCGTTCTTTATTCTTTTTGTACTAGATAAAGTATTCATTGACGCAGGTTACGAATATCACGCTCAGAAAGCCAATTCTTGTAATCCTAAAACATCACAAAAGTGATAGAATTGAGGCTGAATTGTGAATTGACTGAAAATAGATGTTTTGTTCAACATTCAATCTCAAAAAATTAAAAATTTAATTTTAAACAGAGAATACAATTTACGTTTCATTCGCATTAAAATATCACTTACTGAGACTAGCTGAGTACCAATTTTCACTTTTTTCAACTACCGGTCACAATAAGATATAATAGGGTAGTTGATTCAGATAGGTGGTATCCGAGGGGATTTCCGCACTGAAAAAAAAAGAGGTGTTGATTCAATTTGAAAACTTGGTTAATTATGTAGGTACTTTAATATCTATTTTATCCCAAAAAACCTATATTTTAAAGAAAAAGCAATATTTACATTACGTATATTGTATTTCAAAAAAACAATTTAAATTTCCCTTGAAAACGCTGAATAGTGTCATGGCGTCTTGAATAACGTCACAGTCTGCAAAACAAAACTGTTTACATCTGTGTCAACTGAAACTGTATTAAGGTGAGGAAATATGCTAAAAACGAAAAACAATAAGGAGTAACCTGCTCTGTTGTATGAAAACGTCAAAAACAACAATGAGGTTTTGCGTGGCGTGACGTAACATTTCTGATTGGTGTTCGCTGTCGCGTGACTTAATGCCTATTTTAAAAAAAAAAAAACTATTAATAATCTTTAACTGTTATGCGAAATAGACTGTTTTTTTCTTATTTATGTCTCTTCATTTATAATTTGAAACTATAAACCAAGCAATTTGTTATTAGTGGACACAAGCCTATTACATTATAGTTAACGTGGGGTATTTAATACCTTACTACGAGAATATCTTTTATGGCGTTTGTGAGATTTTAACAGACTTAAGGGCAATGAAAAGTGATCACGTATGCGCGTCGTGACTCACTATTTGACAATTTATTCACAAACATGTGACTTAGTTGTGCGACCTTGACTGTGCGGCTATGGAATGATGGCTATAGGCTAATCATATCTAATATTAACTGAACGTACTTTTAAATATAAACATATATTATGTATACGTATAAACTGAAAGATTTTGTAAGGTACTAGTTTTGAGTACTGGTTTTGAACACAAATCCTGCACCAGCAATAACTTCTGTATCGCGATGGATTTTACAAACATTCATAAAATGCACACAAAGAACACTCAAGACTCAGAACAACAATTTAGTAAATCACACAAAGTGCTGTCTCATGTGTGGATCTAACCCGCAACACTCAGCACACCCACACTAGCAATAACTCCTGTATCGCGGGGGATTTGACAAACATTCATAAAACGGACACAAAGTGCTGTCCCATTTTATATACTTTACACACACATGAAACGGACACAATGAACATCCAGACTCAGAACAACAATTTGTGGATCACACAAAGTGCTGTCCCATGTGCGGATCTGACCCACAATACTCAGCGCAGTAGGAAGCGGTGAGGTAACCGCTTAAAACTACGCCGTGCAGTGAAACTAGTAACGTAACTGGTCGTTAGAAATGTATTGAATCCACGAATATAGAACACTAGCTGACCCGCGCAACTTCGTCTGCGTCTCTCAAAAGTAATAAATTTTCTCCGTTTTTGAAACATTCTTCATTGGTGCTCCGCTCCTATTGGTCTTAGCGTGATGATATATAGCCTATAGCCTTCCTCGATAAATGGGTTATCTAACACTGAAAGAATTTTTCAAATCGGACCAGTAGTTCCTGAGATTAGCGCGTTCAAACAAACAAACAAACTCTTCAGCTTTATAATATTATATAGAACACTAGCTGACCCGCGCAACTTCGTCTTCGTCTCTCAATAGTAATAAATTTTCTCCGTTTTTGAAACATTCTTCATTGGTGCTCCGCTCCTATTGGTCTTAGCGTGATGATATATAGCCTATAGCCTTCCTCGATAAATGGGCTATCTAACACTGAAAGAATTTTTCAAATCGGACCAATAGTTCCTGAGATTAGCGCGTTCAAACAAACAAACAAATAAACAAACAAACAAACTCTTCAGCTTTATAATATTAGTATAGATTTGGGTTTAGATCTGTGAAAACGGACCTTAATTTTTTTCTCTTTTAGTGCCGACATGCGTGACCGTTGTTGGAAATATTTAAACCTGCAGGAAATCACTCAAGTTATAATTGGCGGGTTTGTTGGCCTAGTGGTTAGTGTTCCTGACTGCTAAGCCGAAGATCGTGGGTTCGATTCCCACCCAGGACAATTAATTGTGTGATGAGTGCGATCATTTGTTCTGTATCTGGATGTAATTAAGCTATAACATTAACATGTATGTATTTAGAAATATATCAGTATGTTTATCAGCAGTTTGGGATCTAGTGTGTCTAGATATGTTTATATTATTATTAATTACCTTTTATGGCAAGGGAATTCTAATGAAGAATGAATTAAGAACATATTCTCTTTAAGTCAGTTTAAACAAAAAAAGAACGCGTTGAGAATGTACACTATTACTATTGTACTAGGGTATTGGTGTGCTTCGATTATTATCATTGCATTAAGCGATAACATCGCCAATAATGATTAAATAATACAAAACAATGATAGACATACGATAAAACAATGTGACAGGTATTGATTTAGATAATAACTATTTATTTATACATCATACACATAATAGCCTCTAATAGTCTTCTGATGGACCTAGGACTCTCCTTAGAAAGGCGGTTTTGGAATACTGTACCTCGCTGGCCAGCCGGGTTGGTATAGAGTTTGTTTCAAGTTTTCCTTCTCTTTGCAGTGCTGTTGTCCTGCGTGGTTTGCTTCTTTAGTCGGCTCTTACGACACCTACAGGATGAATAGGGCTGACACTCAGTATTCTTAATCCGTCACCACACGGACATCCGAATAATTTCGAATATTCAATAATTGACATATAATACCTAATATGGTTATCCAGATGCATGTGAAAATAAACTACTAACTTGAAAAAGTTAAGAAATATAAGACTAATTTTTTTGTTATCGTACGTGTTTCATAATTGTAACTTGACTCTATTTTTTTACACAATTTCTAACATAAAGAAATAATCTTGCTTGTTCCAGCTATCCACGAAATAGCTCACAACCTGGCCTTCGGACATAACCGACCTATGGCCAACAGACTATTCGGGTTCTTCGCGAATCTACCTCTAGGAATACCTATGTCTATTAGCTTCAAAAAGTACCACTTGGAACATCACAGAGTAAGTAAATAGGTTTTAATATAACTCAGCAAGGGTTTCACTTCTTGTGTTAATGTATCATATGTGGCCTAGCCGATTCGCTTCCTTTGCGATATACTCGGGTCTCGTTCCGGCTCAGGTTCCGATTTAGTCTAAATTATTAACTCTACTGATAGCTTTGTATATTTATTCTTAAGCCAGGTACCGTTCCATCTGTTTTTGGGGTGGAAAATCCCTCCAGATCTCCGGCTTCTTAGGGATTCACGACTTCAGGAGCCAGAAGTATGTGGTGTTTTGTTTTGTTATTGTCGCCTAAAAACCGCCCTGATGGCCAGCCTTAAGCGCCCTAATCTTGGGAGAACCGTGTGATTTAGGCACTAGAGTTATCGGTACTGGTATGTGTAAGCGCCCAATAGCGGTTGAAGCGTTATTAAACCGCGAAAGAATAAATTTGACTCTAAAATCTAGTCGTAGTTTATCCAGTTTATTACACTTTGTTGAACGTCGTACAGGTGCTTATTTACTCAATATAATTAATAGTAATAGATAGGACGTTCGCATTTAATATGAACGAGTACGAAGAAGAAACTGGTGCTGCCGTAATAGAAACAGCAGTAGTTAGAAAAAGTGACGTCTTTAATAGATATGCGAAATGGATATTCCTTAGCTTTTATAGTTTAGCTGGTCAACTATTTGTACATGAAAACTAAGTTATTGGAACGAAATGTCTTTGAAGCAACTGAACTTGGATGTGTTCTTTGACGGAACGGATACCGTGTATGTTTGTAAAGTCCCCCGCGACACAGGATATATTCCTAATGCGGTAGTTGTTTTTTTAAATAAAAAAATTACAGCTAAATACATACATACATAATAAAGATTAACTAACTGACCCACACAACTTCGTCTGGTTCTTCCAAAAGAAATAAATGTTCTCCGTTTTCGCAAAATGTTTCATTGATACTTGGGTCCTGTTCGTCGTAGCCAAAGATATTTTAAGGAAAATATGTTATATTCATATTATACGCACAAAATATTTGTCCGGTAACACTATGCATACATTTCAAATGCATTTTAGAACAATACATACGCTACAAGTGCGATAAGAAATATGGAAAACAAGAGTGAAAGAGACAGTACAGCGACAGAAGGCATTTTTTTTTTGGATTTTTTTAAATTAGCACGTGCGCGCGCTTTTTGTGGTCCTAATTAGGACCCTCACGTTTTGTGCGTTGCTGTCGTATCTATCTCTTGTATGTATATAATATCATTGGTTGTAGCATGATGTTATATACCCTCTATCCTTCCTCCATCAAAAAGCTATCCAACACAAAAATATTTTTTCAAATGAAACCAGTACTTCCTGAGATTAGAGGTAAAGTTTGTGTGAGTTTGTATGTTCGGGAACATACAAACTCACACAAACTTTACCTCTTTATAATATTATTATAGATAAAAAGTATTTACTGTGAGTTTGAAAACGTTTCTACCAAAAATAACAGTGTCATATAAATATCGAACCCCTTTTGCACCCTTAGGGGTGGAATTTTTAAAAATCCTTTCTTACTGCACATCTACGTCACCTAAGGAACATTTGTGCAAAATTTCATGCTTTTAGACCCAGCGGTTTCAGCAGTGCGTTGATCAATCAGTCTGTCAGTTTTTTCTCTTATAGATATAGATAATACTCAGACACAGCACAAATGATCTTGCTCATCATACAATTATTTGTCCAAGGTAGGAATCGAACCTTCGACCTCTGGCTTAGCAGTCATATAATCACTAACCACTAGACTAATGGGCCCGTCGATTAAATTAAATTAATACTTTTAATATATTATATTTATTTGTTATGATAACTCATTCCTAAATATTAGGGGTTAAAGTATGAAATTGCCGATTTGTACTCAAAAATTGAAACTCGTTTTTTTCTAACATATTTTATCAAAATATTTTGCTGCCATCTAAACGGAAGTTCAATTTTGCCTTTACGATAGAACTCTGGTGATCTAGATTCCACTAACCATGTGAAAGCATTTTGTACTGTCTCCTGGGAAGAAGTGTTTATCACGTAGAAAATTGTCCAAAACACGAAAAAATGGTAGTCCGTTGTATTGAGGATTATAGTTTCCAACTGCAGCTCCTGTATAGTTACAACGGTTTCTCGTGCAATGTGAGGTCCTGCGTTATCATGAAGCAATAATGGTGAAGATCGATTCACGAGTCGGGGCTGTTACACTGCTAGTTCCGTCATCATGGTTCGAAGTTCGGCACAGTAAACATCTGCTGTTGTAAAGAGACTACCAAACAGTTCCCACTACCCTTTTATTGGTAAGCTTTGCTTAAGGGCACTGTTGCGGCGTTTGACCTTGGTTCAGCTATTGCATCGTTTGCTTACATTTATCGTAAACAATCCACTTTTCGTCACATGTCATAATTCGATCCAATATTCCTTCATTTCTGTACCGATTTAACGAGGCAACACAAGTTTCAATACGCATTTCTTTCTGAAGATCAGTCAGATCATGTGGCACCTTTTTTTTTTCATATTTTTGTATCTGATTGATTTGAGGCAAAGAGTCAATATTGTAGGTAGGGTAACGTTAATCCATGGCGCTAATTCCTGGGTAGTGCGTTATTCACCTGTGTGGGCGACCTTCCATGTGGTTCGTTCTTCAAGTCGAAGTTTCCATTACGAAAAAGTTGAAACCAAAAACGCACGATGCGTTCATTAGCAGTCTCCTCTCCAAACGCTGCGTTGATATTGCGAGCCGTTACTGCCGCGTTAGTTCTGCGTCGGAACTCATATTAAAATGACATGGATTTTCGAGGTATCCATAAAAAACAATTAAACGTCGAAAATTTAACGTTGCACATTTTTTAAAGAAGAACATCACCTATGAGGTTCTTCTTTAAAAAAATGTGCAAAAAGATTTACACGAACATCAATTCAAAGTATCTATTACTATCTAACGGCAATTTCATACTTTAACCCCTATTATTTCCAGTACCAAGGCGACGAAGTGATCGACACAGACCTGCCGACGCTTCTGGAAGCGAAGCTATTCTGTACGACAGCTGGCAAGCTTGTCTGGTTGTTCCTACAGCCTTTGTTTTATACCATCAGGCCGCTGGTTGTCAGGCCGAAGTCCCCCACGCCGATGGAGTTCATCAACCTCGTGATCCAACTGTTCTTTGATGCTTGCATTGTTAAATTGTTCGGTAAGCTATATATACAATCAAATTTTCTAAAAAAATCTCTCCCAAAACTATAGTTTATTTGCGTTCTTCATTAAAAAGTATGAACCATTGTATATATGTATTCAGAAAAGTAAAAAATCTGTTATCATGTCATCTTCAAATGAAATCAACCTTTATATTTAAAGTAATAACTATTTTTGCGGCTTCGGTTGCCTTTATGTGAAGTTGTCAATATTTTTTATACGATACCTAAGGTACTACTCCAGACTATAATCTAGCATCTGTTTAAAATTTCATCCAGATCCGCAATTCTGCCATTATATAGTAACCAACGTCCTTCTATCCAAACTTACGCATTTATAATAAGTATTTATATAAAACTAAGATTGGCATTTGATATGATCTAAAATTATATTTCAGGTTGGAAAGTTCTGTTATATCTTATATTGGGTGGACTAATGGCTATGGGAGTGCATCCAGTCGCAGGTTGGTACTGTCATAATAAATTATGTAAACAAGTCAAAATAAATGTCTGCAATAATCGTAGTACGAAATCCTGCGCTTTTAATGAATTTTTCACTATTTATTGTAATTATTTCTTGTACTTTTCATCTGTTGTAAAACTACCCTATGTCCTTTCCCGGGACTCGAACTATCTCTATACTAAATTTCATCGAAATCGGTTTAGCGGTTTAAGCGTGAAGAGGTAACAGACAGACACACTTTCGCATTTATAATATTAGTATGGATTACAGGCATATACTTAGATATTACAGGTGAATAAATTCCCCATATATAAATTGATTAATTAAATGGTTTTTTATTTTGCAGGTCATTTTGTGGCAGAACACTACATGTTCCGCAAGGGCTTCGAGACCTATTCCTACTATGGACCCCTGAACTGGATCACCTTCAACGTAGGATACCACAATGAGCATCATGACTTCCCCGCAGTACCTGGTAGCAGATTACCAGAGGTGATTGCTTCATAAGATAATGCATCTCTTAAAAAACATTTTTTTTTTATTTCTGGTATAGGTTGCAAACAAGCACCAGAGGTCCAAGTTCTAGTTTATTTCACATCAACTCGCTCTCGACAGCGAGCGCGGATTGGTGAAGATTTCAGTGCGGGCCAACCGCAGCGTCGTACAGGGTACAGGCCTTTAAGTGCCTCATTCCTTCATTACTTTTCACCGAGGGAGAGAAGATTAGCGGATCCCAAACCCCCTCTCCTACTGATTCTGAGGGGTGAGGGGGACTCAAAGAGTTGCAACGCACTTGTGGCTCTTGAGTTGCACGTGTCCATGGGCGGTGGTAGGCACTTACCACCAGGTAACCCCGCTACTCGTTTTGTCCCCTATAACATAAAAAAAACCATTTTGTTTTTTTTTTCTATTTCTAAACAAAAGTACTTATACTGCAAATTTAAAATTATTATTTCATCATCAGCCTATCGCAGTCCTCTCCTGGACATAGCACTTTCCCATTGTTTAATAATTATTATTAACATTTGTGTAAACAAATTATCCTTATTTACTAATAATCAAGCTTTATAAAGAAACTAGCTTTTGCCCCTGGCTCCGCCCGCGTGTATGTCGGTCATCGCGGTACAAAGTAGCCTATGTTACTCACTGATAATGTAGCTTTGCATTGGTGAATAAAAAAAAAACGGTTTAGTGGTTTAGGCGTGAAACAAATTTATAATATTAGTATGGATGTATTAAAAACATTTCTCCGTTTTACAGGTAAAACGCATTGCCCCAGAATTCTACGACGATCTACCTCAACACAACAGCTGGTCGAAGGTTCTATATGACTTTGTGTTTGATCCAGAGGTCGGTCCCTACGCCAGGATCAAGCGTAAGCACCACGGGCTAAAGAGCTAGATATATAGGTATTGTTAAATTTGAAATAGATGGCGCTTGTGGCAACATCAGAGTGATATACTCAAAATTTATATAAGCGACCTCTCTTGGTCAGGTGATGAACTATTTTATGTGCAGAAGCGACCTCTGTTGTTGTTATATATATTACTTACTATTTATACAATGAAGTAAGTGTTTAGATGTGTTTAAATAAAATTTGAGAGAGTATAGCTTGTATATAGGCTACTTTCTATCGTTTAATTTAGATTACGGATCTGTAATAACCACAAAAGAGTAAAAACCATTGAATAATAATTTATTTTAAGCTTTTCAAACTACTATGTTCATGATTAAATAGAATAGCGGCACGAGTCCTTAAACGTACTAAAGTTTGAAGCAGACAGAGAGCGGGACGGGAAGGCAACGCGAGTTAACTAGTAAATCACAACTTGCTAAAGTCTCGTCACCTGCACGCTGCCTTTTATATTTACTTGTGAAAATCCCATCAAGCCCACCCACTGGGGTTTAAAGTGGAGCGGTGTGTAGGAATCGAACAGTCTAAAACGCCGCCCCTCGGCGCCTGAAATAGGAGGAATTCGGAAACAGCTGTTATTAAGACATGCAGACCTCTACTGCCCCATACAGTGTCTGCCTCAACCATAACCAATAATCATTGTTTTGATGGTTCTGTGCGATAGTGACCAGTTGCTGCACATTATTAAGCCATTCTCAATTCTTTATCACAAGCGCAATCTATTTAAAAAGTGTTTGTACAATTTTATTATTTATCGATAGATATTAAAAGAAAAACAATATTTTCTTGTCGTTATGGAGGTAGAGATTGAGATAATAAACTTAATTCATTGTATTAACCCAACTATAGCGAATCCAAAAGGAGCGTTTTTTATTTGACATACAATGTACCTACTTTAGATAATGAACTCTATAAGCTTGGATAAATTTAATAAATCAAATTTCTTAGTTTCAATTTTTTTTTTAAGATTTTTCGGCGCCAAATTTAATGATCGAAATAAACTGTCAAAATGGTTTCTTCTGAGAGGAAAATTAAAAAATATTAATGTCATCCATATAGATGACATTAATAATTTTTAAATTTTTCTCTTTATTTTCAATTTTGAAAATAATTTAGTTATTTTGATATTATTTCAATATCTTTTATGCCATAAGCATAAAATATTGTTTAAATCGTGGTCTTATTCTTGGTCTCACTGCCATACAACCATTAGAATCAGAAAGAATCACAGTTTTTAATTGGGTACAGCGAATAATTTAAAATTATAGATAACTTTAAATTATTCATTCTTCAATATTGCATGCATGTGCTTTTGATTGAGTGGTTGTACATGGATGGAGTAAGACCTTTTTGTATAGAACATAAACAAAGTTGATCTTTTTAATAATATAATATTGTTTTATTTGTAAGTTTTAAATAATGGGTTATAACTGTTTTATTTTGTAGCTAAGTATGTATAGGTTTTTTTTTATTTACTATCATTAATGTAAAGCATGTCTATTTTTCTGTATTTAAATCATTTAATGTACTCGTAATGTACAAAGCTTACTAGATGGTTTTAAGGTTTGATCCACAAGCCTTGAGCCTTTTAAAAGTGATATTCAAGTAATTACTCTCCGGGTGATTTATTTTTTGAATTATTGTAGTAAATATCAATCTCTTTTTTTTATTGTTTGACAAAAATGAAAAATTAAGTTCAAATTACTAATATATACTCGTAGTGCTTATTAGCCATTAATCAAAATGTTATAACTACAGGAATGGGGGATACTACTCCAGTGATAATTTATACCTTACCTATATAAAAATAATGTAGTAATTGCATAATTATGCAAGTAAATGATATTATACCCTGTACAAACGTTTATTTTCTCTTCGACAGTTGCTTGAGAACGTAACTGTGCAACAGATTGTATATTGTAAATAGTGAATTACTATTTGTAGTCATTATGATCTGAATTTGTAGTATTTTTACCAAAAGTTTTTTTTACTTGTAACGTTCAAATTCTATTGTTTGTAGTGATGAACAAATGTATTTACTTTCGTTTTCGTAATAAAGTATATTTAATAGTCTTTGAAATGAAATCGAAATTCAAAATTTTTGGATGAACTTTGCGTCATGTAACTTATAGTAACTTAAATTATCTATTCATATAATTTATTAAACTTGGGTAATATAATTTATTATACAAGTACAATGTTTTTACAGTCGTTTCGTTTTATTTTCATTTTGACAGTTGCTTGACAACGTAAGTGTGATATCAACATTCGCCGCTTTCTGTGTCGTAATAACCACCACGGCATTACCCGCAACATAATAATCTTTGAAAATCAACTATAGCTATTTAAATTCTTGTCATTATGTCATGTGCTTGCTTTAAATAACTGATTATTTTAGAAAAATTACCAACGGGGAATTTAATTTGTGCAGGAGGTGAATGACGCAGAAAACTAAAGAATTAAGAAAAACGAATATTTGTCTATGCCTTACATTCAATCTACTGTTAATTCTAGATGTTTATATTTTTCATATTTCCATCGCACGTAAATCCAAACTTCGCCGGCATCGGCAAAGTTTGCCATTAATTAATTTAAACAACTTTCGCCGTTATCGAGACTAATTAGAATATAGGGTAGATTCGACAAAGTACAGCAAAAATCATTGTCCTCCGTTATGAATTTAATGTTTACATTTTGTTCGAATCAACATATTTGACAATAGCTGGCAATCACGTTACAGCTTAGTATTTCCGTACCGCGTCTATCGTTTTGACGTTTAACAAATAGATACCGATTTGCCATCTACCCTTTACCCCCACTGGGGGGTGGTTATGTCGGACTCGAACCAACTAAAAACCGCACGCCATCTCGTTTACTGCAGTCGGGGAAACAGGTGTACCCTAGAAAACAAATCCCTGGCTAGAAGGAAACCTCCACGCATTCGGCTGATGTGATGTTTCTTGGATGAATTGTGTGTACCGATATTTCGGTGCTGTCGGCTTGTTTTAGTGATGGCTTTGGTGGACGAGAGTCCTTACTTTTTTACCCTATTTAGAACGTGAACTTTTTTCTATGGCATATTAAAATACTACTTGTTTAAGTAAATTTAAATCGGTTAAAAACCCGTGATTAGTTATGAGTAGTATTTACTAACGAAGTTTACATTTACAATCGCAAGATATTTTTTTACAGTATTTTATTAAAATTACAAATTTTATAACTAAGTAATATCATGTAATTTTTTTTTCTTAACTGGAGTTTGGTTTAAGTCCTTGTGTGAATTAAATTTTTATTATGTTTCTATATTTAAAAGTAGAATGAACCCGGCTTCATACTTGATGTAGCATTTACTTATATACATTATAACGTACAAATGACTTTTTTATTTGAATTTAAATACAGAAAATCAAATCAAATCAATCAATTTTTATTTCTGTATAAACTCGGGTAAATTTCTAGTTTGATATTATTATTTAACTAAAAATAAATAAAACTTCTATAAAATGAAGTGTCACTGATGCTATGTGAAAATCTCAAAACGCCTGTTGTCGCGTTGAGATCGCACTGTCATGTGAACGATTGTATTTAAAACCAATGATCGCAATCGCATTGATCACATGCGTGGACAAGTGGCACAGCGTTGAGTCTGCGTCGGATTGAAATGCTTTTTGGCATAGGAACGATTGACACTTGTTTACACGCTTTATTAAATGCGCGCTCTTTGTCATCTGAATACAGCCTTACGGGAATCACAGAGTTTTTAGAAAATAAAAAATGGTATGAAATAGAAGCCTGTTAATATTGTTATTGCTTTTCGAAGTACATAATTTCCGTTCCTTTCTAAGCGACGTCGCATGCGATGGAACTATTGACTGAAGCAGTGAGCCCACTCTTATTTAGGGATCTCTTGCACGCCTTTTTCAAACGCAGCCCCGTCATCTTCAGTGTTCATAAAACGAATTCCTCTAAGTTTATATTTCATTTTTGGTAATAAGTCAAAGTCACAGTGTCAGGTCGAGACTAAACTTTTTTTACTGACATATTCTGTATGTATGTATACATTCAAAGGAATTAATCTCATTACTTCCGAAGAGCTGTTGAAAATTCTACAAGAGTCGGAGCATGAGGACTCTGAATCCCAAAATATGGAGTACGTTGTATGGACCGCGGATTACGCGTCATTTACTGGCAGAAGGGAATTATTTGTAGAAGATGTTGGCTCCAAAACTTTTGGGACCAATCTCTTCTAGAAATGATACGGGATAAACCAAACCATTGTCCCTCTGCCAGTGTCTCCAAAACTGGTATCTCTGCCAATCACGTTGGTATGACAAGGTGAATAGGTCCCTTTCAGAACTTAGTGAACCTAATATTTTAATGGGTCTATGAGTCCGCGTTCAAATTTGAGAGTATTGGTCAATGGTCAACAGGAATCCTGGGAATTCCAGGATACCGAGAGATCATGAGTAAGAGCCGCTTCATATTATTGATACGGTTCCTAAACCTTTGTGATGATACTATTTTCGACCGGGGTATTTTACCAGCGATTATAACATCATTTCAGTTGGTAGATGTATCAAAACTGGGCGCTATTTATACATTTAATTTATTACAACTATTGTAAGTGGGAAAGTGAATGTTTGTTTGTTACGCTTTCTAGCCATAACAGCTCAACTAATCGTCATGTATTAAGAAGTCATAGGTACGGAAAATGGCATAGGATACCTTTGACTTTTACGCGAGCGAAACCACAGGCGAGAGCTAGTTAATGTATTTTCATATATTAATCATATTTAATACCAAATAATTCGCTTTAATAAGCTAGTACTATTTGTAAATTAATTATAGTCGATTTGAGAGACTTGCTTTATGATTGAATCCACAGATAATGTTATGTTTTACTAATCGTTTAAAAGAATAGAATATTTTGAATCTGTAATTGAAACTAGTCTCTCAAATCAACTAAATGATTGTACTAGAAAATCTAGCAGATGTTCTGACGAAACTATTGCTAAGTGCGAACCTCGTGACCTTATGTAAAAAGATCTATGTTTCTACATGTGTATTTATGTAAAATGTTGTAATAAAATATATTTCAATATATATTTGTTTCATTATAGTCCGAGTATGGTAGAATATGTACACTTTTTATAGTGGTATAGTGGACAAATGACCAGGGCCTCCATCCTTACAAGCCACTATCATTCCATTGACACGCTATTAAGTTGCCATTGGCATGGGTCGAAATATCGGTATTCTACTAACATAAATTCACAGTGCCAATAGACTGTCAACAACATTGTCATATCTGGCAAATTAAATAATAGGTCTTTACCTATGAAATTGCCGTTTTGTATGCAATAAGTGAAAGTACTTATTTTTTCAAACTTTTTTATTTTTGTTATTCGAATTAATCACCCATGCAATCGACGCATCTTTGCCAACGCATTAGCAGTTTATTGATGCCCTTCTTGTAAAAATCAGCTGGACGGGAGGCAAGAAACTCTTTAAAGGCATTTTGTACTGCCTCTCGGGAATTGAATTTTTTACCCACTAAAAAGTTGTCTAAATTTTAGAAAAAGTAATAGTCGGTAGGTGCAAGGTCTGGTGAGTATGGCGGATGAGGGAGAGCTTCCAACCCCAGCTCTTGCAACTTGGAGACTGTCTGTTGCGCAGTATGGGGTCGCGCGTTGTCGTGAAGGAGCAGTGGGGACGACCGATTGACCAAAGCTAGTTGCTTGGTACACAGACGGAACCTACTAGGTTGATAATGAAAAACATATGTATTCTTAATTAAACTTTACTCTTATATATGTCAGTAAAAAAATGAGAAACGGACGGACTTAGTTACAACATTACACCTAAGTACGTTACTCAGTACATTACAAAAGTTGACAGTCAGTTCTGACAATGAGTAGATATTTAACTGAAGGTGGCTTTCATATAGATTATACATTTATTTGTTTAGGTAAATTGGTGGTCACTTCGCCTTTAGTAAAATTATATTTTTGCTTCTTCAAAACACTCAAGAAAGCGTATTTTTCTAAATACATTTAAGTGCGCAAAAGCTTAAGTGAAAAATTGAGAACCGGAGATACAGAGGAAGAAACTATTAGAATATTGGCAATCTACAGAACGTTTTCACGTGTGATGATAACATTAGGTGAAAGTTAGGTGATTCCCAACCTGTGTAACAAAATCCTTCATAAAAACATAAGCAACTACGTTACATAGAAAAAACGGACGTGTTAATACACATATATTTTACTCATTGTCGCTTCAGTGAACACACGGACACAAAGTGTGTGCGTGGACAAGGCACTATAAGGCACAAAGTGAAGTTAATACTTTTGTTTCAATATGGCATGAACGTTCAATTCCACATTTTCATTACAACAAATGTAATTTTAGCTCTCAATAACTATAAATCCAGTTCAAAAATAATTTGGCAATATGTAGTTTGAGATTATATAGATAATACTACTTTCTTTCTTTTATACCATATACAGGCTGTTACAAAAATGCATGGTCATATATAAATAGTAAGTGTAAGGTCTACGTAATTATCTATATTTCTTTTACAGTTGGCTTCCTAAATATGGTTAGAAAAAAAATGAGATTTTTAATAAATAACAATAATTCCTATTCTATATATAACAATTCTTCCTATTATATCAAATATGGATAAGAGAAATCCTGTATGTGCTATCTATATGGATCTAACTAAGGCTTTTGATTATGTGGATTATCCTACACTAATGCATAAACTTGAAAGATATGGTGTCAGGGGTAATGTACTTGATCTCATTCGATCTTACTTAACGGGCAGAAAGCAATTTGTAGAAATTAAGCAAATATGCTCAAATACCAGTTTTGAAAAAAAATATTGTTCCGAAAGCGAGATAATTAAATACGGCGTTCCTCAGGGTAGCGTGCTGGGGCCCCTTCTTTTTTTGCTTTACATAAATGACCTTCCTGGGCAAATAAACCACCCCATGGTTCTGTTCGCCGATGATAGCACTGTAGTGATTAAGTGTGATGATCCCAATACTTATGAAAAAGAAATAAATACAACATTAAATAGAATTATATCATGGTTTGCAAATAATAATCTAATTATAAATTTAGAAAAAACTAAAATTATGCATTTTTATCAAAGGACACCAAATAAAATCGTTGACATTAGCTATTTAGGGACAAAAATAGAATCAAATACTACTACTAAATTTCTTGGTATTAATATAGACAATAATTTGACCTGGAAATCCCAGACAGACGAAGTATGTAAAAAACTAAATAAATTTGCCTATGTTCTTTATAAACTATCAAAAATACTAAGCCTAGAATCCGTACTAATGGCCTATCACGGTTACGCTGCATCAACACTGAGATATGGCGTAATATACTGGGGCAATTCAGTTGATAGAGAACTTGTATTCAAAGCCCAAAAAAGATGTGTCAGAGCTATGTGTGGTCTAAAAAGCACCGACAGTTGTCGACCGTATTTCATACGTCTAAAAATTCTTACCTTGCCATCTCTGTACATATACGAAACAAATATGTTCGTGAAATCCAACATCTCATCATACAAACTAGCAACTAAAAGTTACTACAGAAAACTACGAGATAAAAATAAGTCGGAACTCCAAGTGACATATGGCAAAACTGCACTAATGAATAAAAGTACCTTCTGTATGGCCACCAAAATATTCAACAAATTACCTGAAAAAATTAAAACGCTAACTCTGGCCAATTTTAAAAGAGAAGTATTAAAAATCTTGATAAGTAAGTGCTATTACTCACTAAAGGACTATTTGGACGACAATTCTATAATTACTGCTTCAGAAAATTGTACAATACCTCGACTATCCTAATGATTTTGAATTGACATTAAATTAATTTGTTTGACATTTATTAAAATTGACTGTATTTTGTATTTATTTTGACATGCATGTGATTATTAATTATTATCATTGACGTTATTAATAATGTGGAAGTTTAAACAATCCTACAAATTTATGATATTTGAAAAAGTGTATATTTGAAAATGTGTAAAATGTGTAAAAATGTGTATATTTGTACGCCCCTGGGCAAAACATAGAGGACTTGCCTATCCATAACATCTCACACTCTATTGTAATTTGACCTATGTTTACAAATAAATGATTCTGATTCTGATTCTGAACATGATAAATTGAACTTTGAAATTGACTGATTAATCTATGGTAAGTGAACATAGATTTATATATATATATAACCAAGAAAGATGACAATATGCCTTAATTTTACTGAAAATGTCTGTATTGAAAAAAAAAATTAAGCCATGGAAATTTACATTCAAATTCATGAAATGTTCTTGAGTAATGTGCACATACATATACCAGTAAAACTATTTGCAGAATAAAATATAAGTCCAATTTCTTTCAATATTTTCCCGCTAGACATAGCGTTCCTGATATATATTTTTTTATGTTAGAGGGGGCAGATGAGCAGACGGGTCACCTGATGAAAAGTGACTATCGCCGCCCGTGAACGTCTGCAACTCAGGAGTCACAAACGCGTTGTCGACCAGGAAGGAGCACGCTCTTTTCTTGAAGGTTTGAAGGTCGTATCGGTCCGGAAATACCGCAGACGATAACCCGTTCCACAGATTGGTTGTGCGGGGCAAAAAGTGTCTCGAAAAGCGCACAGTAGTGGAGCGCCAACTATCCAGGTAATAAGGATGAAAATTTTGCCGTGTGGAACGATGGCGGAAATTTGCGGCTGGTATTAGTCCGAACAATTCCTCGGAGCACTCTCCATGATATATGCGATAGAGAATGCAGAGTGAAGCCACATCTCTACGTAACGCCAAGGGATCGAGCCGATCGGAGATGTTTGGGCTATCGACGATTCGAGTCGCTCTTCGTTGGATGCGGTCCAGAGCTAGAAGCTGGTACTGAGGTGCCCCTGCATAGAGAAGAGAACAGTATTCCATATGCGGCCGGACCTGCGCCTTATAGAGCTGAAGGCGGTGGGCCGGAGTGAAACACTGCCTCGCTCTGTTCAGTACACCGAGCTTCTTCGAGGCCAATTTGACCTTACTCTCTAAATGACCCCGAAACTGGACTTCGCTCGATGTCGATGCCTAGGATTCCGATGCTGGCTGAGGCAGTTAGGGAGGTGCTCTCAAACTGAGGTGATACGACAAATGGTATCTTTTTTGCGGTGAACGCACATACCTGCGTCTTTTTTGGGTTAAACTGGACTAGATTTAGTCGGCCCCAATCTGAAACCTCCGCTAAGGAAGTTTCAATTTCAGACACAAGTTTGTTTCGACTCTCGATGACGTTTTCCCGAGAAATGTTGGGGCGGCCGGTATAAAGGGCATCTCCTGTGCTATCATCTGCATAGCAATGGATGCCACTAGTTTGCAACATGTCATTGATATGCAGAAGAAACAGTGTGGGTGATAGCACACAGCCTTGTGGCCCACGTCGTAAATGCTGGTGTCCCACAAGTTGTGGGACACCAGCATTTACGAATTTCAAGTCGGAGCATGCACCGTCAACAACGACCTTAATGCTTCTGTCCGCAAGGAAGCTGGTGACCCAATTACACAATTTCTCGGGAAGCCTAAAGGAAAGGGAGCTTCGAGAGAAGCGCCTTATGCCTGACCCCATCAAAGGCCTTCGCTATGTCCAAACCAACCGCACATATTTGACCAAACCTTCATGTAATATGTGTTCACATGTAAAATTTACGTATTATATATTTTTTAAACATTACAAAGGATAATCGATTTTAAACAATCTTATTATTAAAATAAATACAACAATTAATTTGTATAATAGTGAAAAGTGAAAATGTACACCTCAAAAAAATACTGTAATTAATTTATTGGTTTCTTGTCGACCGATTTATATTTTTATTTTCTTTTTTTTTACGTAAGAGGGGGCAGACGAGCAGACGGGTCACCTGATGGAAAGTGACCATCGCCGCCCATGAACTTCTGCAACTCAGGAGTCACAAACGCGTTGCCCGCCTTTTAGAAAAGAGTACAAAGGAGTTCTTGAAAAAAAATCCTTTTTATTTATTTTTACTATTGGTACAGGTTGAATTGGTTTTTGATTTTTTATAAATGTACTAATTTATTGAATCGACTACCCTTTGTTACTCTAGATAATAATGACCTTTATACAATATAAAACACAAAAATATACTAAATATACATTGCATCATTTCATAATTTAGACACGAAAATTAACATTCACATTTGATAGTGTAACTAAGTGCTAATTAATATTATATAATGTTAAATAAAATATCGAATTAAGGACGGAAATTCAATAACAAATAAGGGCTTTGCTTTATTTAATTAAAATTATTTCATTAATAAAGTTAATTATAAATTCTTAATAACTAAAAACTAATTTTCTTTTCGTTACTAATAACATAAGTCAAATTTTACATCCCAGCTCAAGCATACATACAAGCCCCGCACCCAGCAGACCAGTCAGGTTTCGTATGATCCTGATTGGTCAGAGGGCGGGGCTTGATCGATGAGTCACTATTTTCTTAACGCGAATAGACTATAGTAATCTTCTAAATCCCGCCAGCGAAACTTCATTGGATGATTTGAAACTAAATGCTTATATTAGGGGTGACTTCACATCTAAATAATTGCTTTTTTGTTAAGTGAGTCTTTTTGCTGCAGTAAATAAAAGAACATGGGCTTATGCATGAAAATACATGAACCGATATTTTTTTATTTAGTAGTTATTGGTGATCATGTGTTATACAACACATGATCACATGAACAAATGAGTTTTTCCCTTCTGATGATGATTGATGATGATAAATTTCATCATCAGTAATTTTATGTTTTTCCTTAATGAAGTACCCTAGATATACTTAAAACACACAGTAATACCCTTAACAAGAACGCAGTATACAGCCGTGGGGTTCAGACAGGAGTTTCAAGGCTGTCGGTGGGGGGGGCGGCGGCGAGGGGCTGCGCCTCGTCTCCCTCTGCCCCGTATCAGATCTGTGACGCGGGCATCGTGGACACCGTGCTGTGAGGAGTCGTGGGGCGGGAGCCTGCCAGCGACGCATTCAGGGAAGCCATCGTACCCATCTGTTAAACGATTAGATTGTGAGCTATGGATAAAATTTATTGTCGTTATTTCTTTCATCGTATAGGGGTCAAACCAGCAGCAGATGGGCACCTGTGACTACTGTGACTACCGCCACCCATAGATACCCGCAACTCATAAGTCTAAGCGCGTTGTCGCCGTATGAATCATGGAACGGGGGAGGGTTTGGATTTCGGTAACCTCATTCAGTAGGTGACAGAAATGAAAGAATGAAGTTGCAATGAAGTGGTAAGAGACACAAATGTGAAACTCAATCCTCCCACCCCCTATGTTGTGGAGGGGGGGGGGGGGGGGTTGAGTTTGGCTTCTATTAAAAAGATTTCGGCGTAAAGTCTCATATACCATATTAAATCAGAAAAACAATTGAAACTCACCCTCAAATGAGCCAAATCCTCCAACTTGGTGAGGTCGGCGAGCTCAAGGTACAAGCTATACACCAACACCCACCCGTAGCAGCCCACCACACAGAACACTATCCAGACCAGACAAATGAGCACGTTATAGGAGAAGATCATATCGTTCACTATTGAGGCGAAGATGAACGCCACCAGCCTGAACAGTATGAAGACACCGAATGAATACAGCCAGGGTACGCATCGTTTCTCGTATTCCTGGAAAAATACAAGAAAATTAAATATCCAGGTCCAAATGCAATTTTTTTATTTCACTAATTGCCCCTTTTTTGTTTTTTTTTTCCGTGCGAAAATCCCCGCGGATACCACCTGTCGGTGGCATGTCGGACTCGAACCGACTAAAACCGCACGCCGTCTCGGGTACTAATAGCCGAGGAACCAGGTATACCCTAGAAAGGAAGTCCCTGGTCCAACTAATTGCCCCCTATGATCAAAGACGGACGGATTGGTTTATAACTGTAACTCCTACTGTGGTTAGATTAGATTGCTAAAACTATATATGTCACAACATTTTAATACTGTCCGTGTGCTGACGGACTAAGACTACTGAGTGTCACTACCCCTATTCATCCCGTGGGTGTCGTTTCAGCGATTTTAAACTAAGAAACATATAGTTCAGATAATAATAATAACTTCACGCATCTCACACCAGGTAGTCTGATCCCAAACTAGGCAGAACCTGTAATATGGCAACTAGACCACTGACATACATTCTTATATATTTCTAAATACATACATATTCTAGATAAATTACACCCAGACATGGAAGAAATTATCGTCTTCATCACACTATTATTTGACCTGGCTGGTAATCGAAACCACGACCTCTGCCTTAGCAGTCAGGGTCACTAGACCAACACTATGACAAACAGGAGTCTTTATATATTATGTAGCAAAAAAGAATAAATTACATGAGTAGCGAGCAGGAGAAAAAATAAATTATACTATTTGGATTTCTAATAAAATCTATACTAATATTATAAAGCTGAAGAGTTTGTTTGTTTGTTTGTTTGAACGCGCTAATCTCTGGAACTACTGGTCCGATTTGAAAAATTCTTTCAGTGTTAGATAGCCCATGAGACGCGTTAGCGCTAAGACCAATAGGAGCGGAGCACCAATGATGAATGTTTCAAAAACGGAGAAATTTTATTACTATTGAGAGACGCAGACGATGTTGCGCGGGTCAGCTAGTAATAAATAGTTCAATAAATCTTGAAAACACCACACACACACACACACACACACAGCTAAAGAAAAAAAACAGAAAAGATATTTCATATCAAAATAATTATCAAAAAAATGAAAGCATGGTATGTATATGCAAAACCAAACGCAAAAGGTACTTGAATTAAAAAATTACCTTGTTCTTTGACTGCATTACTAACTAGATGATAGCATGGATGATGAAAGAACGAGTAAGTTAATAAATAGGTTTGGGCCAGCCATAAATTACGTCACACACCCAACCCCCCTCTACCCTGTAGGAGGGGGTCCATTAAATGTGACATTATATGACAAAAGCTCCCTACGCTCATAAGATTTGTGACGTCACACCTCGCAAGAATGATTAAATCACATAAGATTACCTGTAAATGATGCTATGCTATGACATAGACCTGTGATAAATGATATTAATTTTTCCATATCAGATCTACCACGTTAAAATAAATTTCATCATTTATCATTGGTAATTCTTTTTTCTAGTATGTTTAGTAGAACGAATCATGAACATTAAATTTAGTTAATGATTAGTTCAAGAATAATAATGTTCCTGTTTTTAAATATAAAAAGTTGCAATATATGCGACGTCACATCAGGGGTGCCATATTGTGAATACGAGCGGGAGGAGGGTCAAAAAGTCATGAAATCGTGTGACGTAAGTTATGGATGGTCCCTGTAAAACTCAGTCTTGTACTATATAAAAGGACTTGTATAAACAACATATAATTATACCGATTGTTTTTCTTTAAAGTATGTACTTAGTCAATGATTTATAAGTATTTATGAAACAAGATATTTTTTCTGTATTGTGTAACATAATATATTGTCTTTTTTAAGTCTGCTTTTAATACCTAGCTATTTTTTATTTGGTTGTTAGAAATATTCAAAATCATAGATTAAGTACATTCATTTAGAAAAAAAAACGGAAACATTTGGCTTTTTCTTTTTGGTAATAAACTAGGCAATTATATTTTATAGTCCTTATAACGGAATGTTTAAAAAAAAGTGTTAAAAATATTCCATACCAGATGTGGTGAACAAATGAATACAATTTAATGCCTTTAATTTGTGTAAGATATTAAAAAGAGATGTTTAATTGTTTTTTAGTTCTATGTGTTAGACAAAAGCTTGTAGGCACTTATAAAGTACTAAACAAAATAGTCATTGGATAAATAATTATTAGTTGGTAGAGAAATAACTATGTAAATATTAGTTAACAAACATATCATTTTTTTTTTCAACCATTTGTTACTTCAGAAATCCATAATTTATGAACTGCTTTAGATTTTATTATTTACTAGGAAATACAGGCAGCATAAGTATGTCCGGTCCAATACAATTTTGAATAAAAAATACCACCCCTAATGATGGTAAATTATGGAATGAAAAATACAGTTAATTAAATAATTCATCATGACATAAGCATATTGAAGTTGGTGACACTTATCCTTTTTGATCTGCAATTGACTAAGTCATCAATACATAATCAAATTTTTTAGCTTATTTGTTGTTATTTAGATTGGAATTTCTGCCTTCGCATCTGGCGTCTGATCTTCTAGAACCTTTGGTCCATCTCTAGTATTCGCCATTTTTTCAGTCTTGTTGATGTGAATAAGATTTCTAGCAAGTGTCAGTGACAATTTAACGTGACATAAAAAGTGTCACCCATTTCAATGTTTTTTTCAGTCTTGTAGTATCCTTGTTGATGTGAATAAGATTTCTAGCAAGTGTCAGTGACAATTGAATGTGACATAAAAAGTGTCACCCATTTCAATGTTCTCTATCAACTCGGGTTACATTAGAATTGTAATTAAAAAAGAAAACTACTGATTAGACCAATATTGAGTATGACATATAATTAAATATGAAATTTACCTTTCTGAGAGCATTTACCAGGATGATGCTGGTAACAAGTACTACCATGGACCCCACCCAGGAGAACAGAGAGAATATTATTAGGACATTGCGAACTGAAAAAAAACCATTTTCATATGAAATACATATTATATGCAAAACACGTATAAATTTTGAAACAATAAAAGTTAATGTTTAAAATAAATAGCGACCTTCGTGACTATTCAATAAAGTACAATTTAGGTAGCCTAATTATCTTTATAACTTTACACATCTCATACATGGCTGTCTGATCCCCAGATAACTAGACAGAGCCTATACTATAGTAATCAGACTACTGATAAACATACTTATATATTTCTAAATACACCCAGACACAGAACTAATGATCATGCTCATCACAAAATTATTTGTCCTAGGTGGGAATCGAACCCTCAACCTCTAACTTCTGCGTAACCAAAAAACCTTTAATAGTCCACTGCTGGACATATTATGCCTCTCTTTAGAAAGAAGGGTTAGGTCTACTATACCACACTGGCTTAGCAGACAAGATAATGAACTACAAGGGCAACAGGCTTTGCTTTAATTGTATGAGTACCTATCTTATTAATATTATATATATATATATAATAATGAGGATAGATGTATAGAGGTTCTTTTAAGCCCAGAACGGCTAAACAGACCTGGATGACATTTGGCACAGAGATATAGTCTGGAAATGTAGGTTTGAAAAACATCTATGTTTGAGTACTAACCTGGAGGACTGCCCACATAGACAAACTGGTAGCTGATGACGTAATATCCTGTGTGTGTGAAACCTGGAGTTGCCATGTACAGGCAGTAGAGGTCAAAGATACTTTGTGCGAAGGTGAAGAGTGATATAAACTGTAAACAATTAAATTTCGTTATGCTTTAAGTTATAACACGACAACGAATATCGAACGAATGCATGATATTTTTATATAAGTCTTTTGCACGTAGCAAAAGACTTATATAAGAGGCGTGTGCATATGTGACTTACTTACTTGTTGCTTTTTAATGAGAAAATAATCATCATTAATGACTAAAGAAGAAAAAAAAATGTAGTTTAAAAAACTATAAAACACGCTTTTGTAACTAGCCGAACTTATAGAAAATCATTTTCAAAAAGAAAAATCATTTAATCATAAAAAATCATAGGGTGCTTTTTACGATATTTTATAATATAATAACCTATCTATCAATCTATATCTATCAATAAAATATTCTTACAACAATTGAGATCAAGCACCCCGAAAAGTCACCTGATGGTAAGTAACTACCGCTACCCAAGGACACCTATAACTCAAGAGATACAAGTGCCATGCCACCCTCCTATTCTTCTTTCTTGATAAACTACAGTTAAAAGCCGGACTAAGACTACTAAAAGAATTTTTTAAATCGGTTTAGATGTTTAGACGTGAAAACGTAACAAACAAACTCACTTTCACATCAATATTATAAGTATGGAAGCATGTATTCGAACATTAGTCTTAAAGTACAAGAATTATATACTTTAAAATTAATATGATTAATAATATATTGATGAAATACCAAATGTTGATAAATGAAAATCAAATAGGTTTTATCATTACCATATTTTGAAGAAACACACACTGAAGTGTATGTGTATATGTGTATGAGCAAAATCGTATTAAATAATGAGTTATAACATCATACCTAACCTACTGCCAAATTAATTACTTTAAATATATGTGATTAAGGAATTTAAAAAAAAACATGAAAACAGTTACAAATAACTCGTTTTAGATCTTTGTAACACTCAGTTTAATGAGGACTGTTATTGTTATTTCTTTATTGCTATATTTTATAACCATACGAATCTACTGTATGTTTCAAAATTTTATAATTTCACATTTCAACTATTCCTAAACCTAATATACTCCTTTAGAATATGTAAATGTTCATAATTACCAGTGAAAAGAAACCCGTCAGTAGAGAGCCCCTCTGCAGATCCAAGAAATAGGCATCATGTAAGATTGGTTTCTGATACCATGGTACCCTCAGTGAACGCAATGATTTAGACGAACGGAGGTTTGTCGATGATCTAGAAATGTTCAAATTCATATGTTAAATAATTTTCATGAGACTAGCCTGACTACCAACTGGTAGTCAGATAATGACCTTAAAACAAGGATTTAAACATATCAGAAGATGGTAATTTATACAAATAAATAAAATTGAAGTGTCTGTTTGTAATGTCAAATTAATAGGTTTATTTGCACTTAAGCCTAAAAACCAGTTTAAATCTTTAAGCCTGTCTGTTCCAGGTAATCTTTAATAGGACGGGACTGATTTCGATAACATTTACTCCCAGGTAGCTCTCTATGTAATGAGTAACTTGGGCTATTTTGTCTCTCAGAAAACCCTATAAAATTTTGCCCAGTCCTGGAATCGAAATTCCACACCAACAATGTCACAGGCACTGGCTAGTTTTATATAGAACTCAGTAGTAGATTGCTGTGTTAACTTTTATACTTAAATGTTCCATATACATAGTTAGATTTATGACAGGATTTGATATCTAAATATTATCCTGACTGCTAAGCTAAAGGTCAGTTCGATTCCCACACAGGACAAATATTATGTGATGAGAATACTCATTTGTTCTGTGTCCAGGTGTAATTTATATATCTATAATATGTTTATGTAGTTTAGTATAGTATATAGTATAGAATATATATAGTATAGTATAATATATATATATAATATATAATAGTGATGGATAAGGAATATGGCATGTCACTACCCCAATTCATCCCGTGGATGTCGTAAGAGCCGACTAAGGGCGCAAGAAGAAAATAAAAAATGTGTGTTAAGAAGAACACACAAGACATATATGGCAGTGAACCAGAACTAAGTTACCCTAGATATTGGTTATGTATTAATTGCTTATCTTTCTCCCAAACCCCTTCCTCAGGCTGCCAAACATGTGCATTAGATTTAAAAACAGGGTATGACCATTTAAATTGTCTATACAGTGTCTTGATGAGTTACACAGAGAAGTTACAGAGCCTTTAATCTAGATCAGGGATGCCCAAACTAGGCAAGAGACCCCTTTTCTAAAAAGAACTGATACTTCAGACCCCCACAGCTAAATCAGTGCATTCTTATTGACTTATCTTGAGTTTTTTAAAAGTACATCAATGATACTTTCTACTAAACTATAAGTCATTCCCATAACAAGTTGGGATACCTACATAACACAGCTAATAATCTTGAAAGTTTCAAATTATTTCAAATAAGAACTTATGTTAATTAATAGATGTCAATTATTAGACCTCATGTACCCCCAAAATCAGTATTCGTTTAAGTCAACCCCTGGTTGACCAAAGGGTTGATTAAAACCACTTTGGGAATCCTTGATCTAGATGAATTAAACTGGTTTAGTTAAAAAATGGTTTGTAAAGTGTATCTGTTTTTCCAGTAATCATTTATTCTTTTTAGTATTGGAAGAAAACTAGGAAACCATAGAAATATAGATGAACTTTGTGAAAAGAGGATTTAGTAAGTGTTTATAGTAATGAAAACTGCTAAGAATGTGCAAAAATATCTATTCCATTTTTCTGCCTATTCAGATTGAAGAAGACTTATACTATGATTTTTTAAATTGAAGAACTAATCTCTAGCAATACCAGTTATAGAATACTTTACAGAAGCTCTTAATATACTCCTAGTAGTAAATGAATACCTAAATGACAAATAAATAAATAGATGCTTGTAATACAATACATGATGTGTTTAGACTTAAAAGTTCTAATTAATTGATGATAATAAAATGATATGTAATATATTTAAGTTGCAATAGTGATCTATTTAATTGAATAATGGACATACATATGAGTAATGAATTATTTTAATTAATTATATTCAACATATTTTACTATGATTTACATAAATTAATTATATTACATGAACTTTCATCAATAATTAATAAATAATTTATTCTATATAATTATTCAGTTCAATGCATAGTGCTTTAGATTTAACTGTTAATCTTGGTGTGCCCAAACCAGGTCCATAATGATACTAATGCTAAGCTGTACCATCTAATTTTACATTGCAAATAAAGAATAGTGAATGGATTTATATCTCTTTGCATTTTAAAACCTAATTCTAGTACATATACAAGCGATCAAAACCAAGGAGTTCAACTAGTTTATGATAATATATTATGTACTTATTACTTAACTAGCTATATATATATATATATATATATATATATATATAAGTATATGTATATGTATATGTATGTATATTGTATATGTGTTTATGTGTAAATATTTATTTAATATTACCATTGCACCTTCAACTACTACTGTCTCTCCAAAACATTTTAATCCATCCTAAGGTTGCCTGGAAGAGATTGCTCTTAGCAATAAGACCGCCCTTTGTACATTACATGTCTGAAATTTTTATGTACCATAATACCTGTAAAATGTGTGCAAATAAAGAGTTATCTATCTATGTGAACATGTCATGTCTCTATCTATATTTGGATTTTACGACACAACGTATGAAGGTTTGTCTTGTCACTAATATACTCAAACTCAAACTTTCTTTATTTCATAAAATTTTCAAAATTGTTTGAAATCGTCTTCCATGTAGACTCTAAAGTCATAGATCAACACACACAAAAGCAACAATCTCTGTTTTGTCAAATAGTAACCAAATAAATTTAACAAAATCAAACCCATACAAAATCTATGATATGCCTGTGCCGATCTACAACCGCCCGTTTCCAAGGGGTTGAGCCTTATGAGAAGAAAGGGCAAACAAACTCATGGCCACTCTTTTGCAATTCACAAGTAGATACAATGGCACTATTAAATATATCACAACATTGTTTTGATGTGTGCTAGTATGTCCGTTATTAAGGACTTAAAGGTGAAAAAACAACGAAGAGAAAACAAGATTAAGAAGAACAAACGAATACAAGAGAAAATGAAGTGAAACATAAAAAATAGAAAAAACTAATAAAAAACATACTAGCCACACCACATTTTTACTTAAGAAAGAAATAGCCTGCGCTAATTAATCCCAAGCATTCTTGTCCTCCATGTAATCCACAATCGAGTAGTAGGCCCTCCTAGGTATCAATATATTCTTATTAGAATGAGAGTTTAACACAGGTGTACTTACTTTCCAGTATAATGTGAATACACTGAAGGTGTTGAACGATAAGTGGAAGGAGTTTTGCGGCCGTACATGTTTATTGTTATTTTCGTTACAAAACTGTCACTGCCGACGCCCTATTCAATTTTGTATTCAGACAGTTATTTCACGATAATAACACTAAAGAATACATTCCAGACGTAATATTAAACTAATATAAGCTACATTAATTGTGCGAAATCGTCTATTTAATTCATAAAAAACTGTTTTCATTAGAAAAGCCACGCCTGAAAATTGTTTGTTGCTACTTTTCGTAATTCATTGTCAGTTTCGAATGACAATTGACAAGCGACCGTGTTTGAATGACTCATTTTTGAAGTATGTCAATGTGATCGAATGATCTTGTTTAACGGATTTACATGAGGCAGAAAGGGATAGAACATAGGTGTGCCAGTGAATTTGAAAATATTATACCTCTATCTAAATTAGTAGGAGTTTAAACGAAGCGTTCATGAAGTTTAAACACTTCATTTTACGGATAAGTGCAAAATCATGCATGCTTCAAAGCTCCGAGAATATAATAGGTCCGGCTTGTAAAAATCAACATCATTGACAACGTTCATTTCATCAAGATCGTATAATCGTAGAATAATGTCGGTTTTGAAAAAAATACGAAATTCTGTTTTTACTATATTTGGATACTAAATTTATATAAATATTATTATTTACTACATTAAAAAAAAATTAAATGTATTTTAAATTATTCAGTGCTCGTTTGATAGGAGCACAAAGAAAAATGTAGCATGTGATTTATCTAGAAAAGTGTATAATTATTATTTCTTATTTTTATTGCATTTTAAAACAAACCCTATTTTTTACTTGTATGTGCTTGTATGCCAATTTTCATAAGTACAGATTAAAAATTGAAAAAGTTGTCAAAAAATAACAATTATTTTAAAGCTGCCCTTGAGTATGGTCTCGATGAAGGCACTCTGGAACATATTTTCTTTTCTTGTCCTAAATTGGTCGTACCTCTGTATGATCTACTCCCTCAACAAATATCCCGACCCGTTAATTTGGCTTATCTCTTAACTCTAGTATATACCCCATTTGTCAGGATCCTTTACCATTTTATTCGTATAAATAAAATAAACTTATAAAGTTTTCTAATACCTTTACTGCTATATTTTTTTTCTAATGTCCCTTTTTTTTTTCTTTCTCTACTGCCCCACAGAACCACAAACAGAAACTATTGAAATCACAACAATTCCCTCTTGGTATTCAAAATATTTTCAACCTATTAACTAATAAATCTACCTCCCACCTAGACATTGGCAAAATCATCGACATCCGATGGAGCCACTGAATTAAAGGAAGAAGAAGAAAGCTGCCCTGTAAAGTTAAATAAATGTCAGATCCGACACTATTCTACGACTATGACGATTTCTTGTAAATCTTTGAGTAATTCCTAAGAGTAATTCATTAAAATCTCTTATTGCCCGTGTAACTACAAATCCTACAACCAGTAGTAATACCGATAACCTGACCCTCATCGCAGGGATATCTAATACGCAGAACAACGACTTCGCGTTATGACTAAACTTCCTTTTTGATTAGCTTTCAGCCTAAGCGCCTGTTTGCCAAAGTCATCGTTTGCAGTCGTTTGTCTATTTCGCTTAAGAATGCTTCGCCATACCTTCTACCTGAATCTTACTTTACCCTTACTATCTGTACCCGTATTATCTATCTTTATCTCTTACTTGGTAGTGTCATTACATATAAGGGATGATACCCTTCAAACTACTGGTGGTGTATTGGGGATTGAATAGAGTTTCACAAAATAGGTCACGTCTGATATTCGTTAAATCGTATTTTTGCCCAATCATGAAATTTGTCGAATACGCAGCTGGTCAAAGTCAAGTCTATGTACAATCGTTGAAAATATGCGTTTTTAAATTCACATAACACCTGCTATAAGTTCCTATTTACATGTTAAGATTATTCCTCCTTTGAATCTGCAAGAGTAGGTAGGAGGTAGGACCTTTAGGTCGATATTGACTACTTTCCAAAACGACCACTTTCCTGAAATAACTAATTTCTTAAAATGACCGCTTGCCGGATAAGACCACTTACCTAAAATGACTACTACCTACCTGAAATTACTACTTATCCGAAATGAAGACTTTTATAAAATCTTTACCTACTTGCCGTAAAAACTTTTTGTTGTTGTTAAATTTTTGATAACTAGCGATGAGCCCCGACTTCGCACGGGTGCTATGTAGATACTATTAATACTACTAACGGTGGATGTGGAGTATTAATTTATTATCATGATAAGACTACTATAGGAGGACATCTTTATATGCAATATTTATAGGCCCGCTCCGCTCCTGCCGGCCGCTGCCCCTGTACTGTACTGTACTGTATTCTGATATTCTGTAGAATGCAATTTTGATCTACATTAAACGCACAACGTATCTAACGTATTTATTTGGATAAGAAATACTCAATACTCAAATAATACTGTATTGTTCAATATAGCTTCGTAAATTACTCTTATTTTTTTAATATAAAATAAATAAAATGGTTACTGTATACTGCTTTTAAATATTTTTTATATAAATTCTAGACCTGCCAACTTTTTATAGAATACTAAACCTGTGTTCCTTTATGCCTTCTTTCCTGTGATGCCGATGTTTTCAACTATTCTTCATGTCGGTTTTTGTTGCCAACTAGTATAAAAATGCGTTTTGCTTGTCTCACCACGCCCACTATTTGTATATTCAAATCGACAAGTTATTAACTCTTCAAAGGTGATTAATATGAAAGCTTTATATTATCTAAGATACTACGCAGAACAGCATGCAGAGAGAAGGAAAACTTGAAACAAAACCTATACCAACCCGTCTGGCCAGCGTGGCATAGTAGGCCAATACCTCCTTTCTAAGGAGAGGCCTATGTCCAGCAGTGGACTAGTAAAGGCTGTCGATGTCGATGTGATGATGTCATAGGTCAATGCATGTATTAAATTACTATAGGTGTAGTTACATCTATGTGTAACTTCTTAACATAAATATAAATTATGAATCACCTGTTTGAAGTCAAACTTGTCTATTGAAAAGATGTCGTTATCGTTCTAAAATATTGCTATTTTAATTTTAATAATAATGAATTGTTGAATTATTTTTAAATGAGTATGAAACTGGGTGAAATAACATTTTTACGCAACAGCAAGGTAGGTGGCCAATATATATATATAAATAGGTACTTAACTATTTATTATTGGTCGGGTCGGTCACATCCATCAGATCCAAACGGGTAGTAACAGAATGTTCTTTTCAATTTGTTACTACCCTTAGCTTAGTCAACCAAATTTATTTAGGTGTAAAAAAAACAAACTTTGAAAATGTAAAATAGTGGTTGTGGCGGCACGAAAAATACATTATAAATAAAAATATTTAATTATATTTAAGAAAATAAGTTCAGTATAGCATATAAAATTTGTCGGTGTTTAGTTTTTAAGTTTAATTTTATTCCTTTACTTTTTCATCTGTTTGAAACCAACTTACACGTATGCATACAATTATACAATGCTAGAAAATCCCTTTAAGCAAATCTATTCTATTCACGGTGATGTGGGGAGCAACCATGATGCGACTCTTTTAGTTCCCTTGATATTGGCTCTCTTACCTGTCAAAAGACATTCCACCTACCAAAGAATGTTGCAGTTGCTGAAACTAATTTTAAAACAAAAATTTTTCAAACCGCATTCAAAATAGAGTTTTCTGAAGCCGAGTCGTAAAGGTTGTAGTTTTAATTTTTCGCAAGCATTAAGAGAATAATTCAAACAAATGGAAATTGGCGATACCGTTTGCAACAAAGTTTTAGCCATGTACACGGCATTAGCTCATTTGCTTGTTCTATACATTCCGGAAGGATTCTTTCGAATAAATTTCGAGATTGCAGATGAAGTTGATCATTCGAAGTGGAATGATTTTGTCCTTTTTCATTAAACAATAGATGCTATTGGTTTGCTGTTATGGCTTGGTTGGTATGGTTATATTATTAAAATTCTCAACTCTTTCTCTCTCTCAACTTACCATTAATTAAAATATTAAAACACGAAAGTAATCATAGTAATCATGCTGTTCGGTAATAATTTTTTAAATAATAAAATTGAGATTTAAACTTGCTTAAAAATAATAAGCTGTGTTTATTTCTAGACAAAGTATTTTATTTTAATTCTAAAGACCCGTCCCGGCTTTGCCAGGGGTGAAGTAGATAATGGGTTTCTCCATTATTAAGTGCACAATTTTTCTTTATCAAATCGATTAAGCCGTCTTTAAGAGACTAAGGAACAGCAATTGATTTTTTTTATACTTTTATAATTATAAATGAATTTAAATAAATCATTGTTCAATCTATCCAATCCATTATTTTAATTAATAATTATCACTATATTCGCATGTATTTTTCTTCGTATCGAACACATCTGCTGTGAACATTTTGATCTGCATAAATTTGTGTTCGTCTGTACTCATAATGGCAGAATAGGAATTCTTATATCTACTATAAGTTGGCATTGTATTACGTTTTGTAAGGCATAAAATAAAGAGTAAGAGTAGGCATAAAGGAACATTACCTATGTTCCTTTATGCCTACTCTTATCGTATTCTATAAAAAGTTGGAAGGTCGGGAATTTGCAGTTTAAATATTTAAAAGCCGGCATCTAAGGAATTCACGAGTTCTTGAGTGGAGTAGGACGCCCACAGGCCAGGTGTAGTGACGATTTGGCGCAAGATAGCTCCCAAGGAGCTGGATGCGAGAAGCCCAAAATCGATCTAAGTGGCGTGCAATGGGAGAGGGCTATGTCCAGCAGTGGACTGCGAAAGGCTGATGATGATGATCGAAGAAAAGTTAATTTTTATAGCACACCCACCCACACTGGCATGCATGTCAGCCAATTAGCTGGTTTAACCGAGGAAATAATTAACCCTTCTCCTCAAAACCAATGACACCTCATACTATGAAAAGGAAGCGGTCATTTCAAGAATCAACGGTGGTCAATTTAGGAAAGTGGTCATTATCGACCTAAAGGTTAGGATCTAGGCGGTAAATGGTGGCTAAATAGAATAGCAGGTTATGTCGTTATTTGATTAACACTAGTGCTACGCTTGTTTTCGTAACAATATTCCTGAATGATGTTTAGCAATACTTGATGCTAGAAAGTGATAGAAGTGCGGAAAGTGATAGTCTGAATAATTTCTCAATACATACGGTGTTTAAATGAGCACCATCGACCGTTAATCAACGCAGTCGAGGCTTGGCCTCCGAGGAGATTAAAGTACAAGAAAAACATTATTTTCATGTAGACAAGTATTTTAAAAAAGCGAAACAAAAATTTAAATAAAGTTATGATGAGAGGCGAAGGTAAACATTCAACATCTATCTATATATATAAAAGAAAGTCGTGTTAGTTACACTATTTATAACTCAAGAACGGCTTTACCGATATGGCTGAAAATTGGTGAGGAGGTAGCTTAGAGCCAGGAGACGGACATAGGATACTATTTATTCCGAAAAAAAAAAAACAAAGTTTGCACGAACTTTGCTTTACTCGGAGATGCCACGTTATTATACTTGGAATGCTTCATCGAAGAATTTTCAAAGAGGGAAGATTTTTTCTAAGAAAAAAATTAACTTACTAAATTCGAAAATCGGCTTATTTGTTGCCTTTAAGGCGGAACAGAGTTCGCCGGGTCAGCTAGTATATTTATATAAATAGATTAGTTTAGCAATCTATCCCCCACAAAGAAACAATGGGCTCTACCTCCTAAACGCATACAGCTGTTAGTGGTTACAAAATTGTATAATATTGCTTCAGAAGTACGTCTTCTGCATTACCTGTTAGGCATCCATATGGACAATATAAGGACATGGTCGAGAAAAGAGGCCAAGGAAACATGTTCCTTGAGGCTCTAGTAATTAAAAACTTATGTAAGAGACACCACATTTTATTCAAACATCCCCGCAGGGAACTTGTTTCAAATAATCACTTTTTACATATATTTGACCACACTGCCACAAACACTTAGGACAATCACGCTGGGTTGAAGAAACCTTCGGGTCCTGCATATCGACCCAGCCACAATACGCTTCAAAACACTGACCCGAGGTCATCGATAATTTATCTAACTCGTTCAGGTTTTTCCATTTTTTCAGAACTTTTTCGTTTAGATCTCTCTCGTGTAAGTATTTTGTCAGCTTTTCGATTTTTTCCGCTGCAGACACATTACAATTTTCCAGATTTGCTGATTCTTCGATGGCATTACTAGACTCCGGATTGTCCGACACCTCTGTCCGGTTCTCAAATGAAAGGTCCCAGGTACCGACGGAATCATCGGCGGTAGACACTGCCGGTGTCGCAGCTGTGAAAATTTTTCAGATTCAACTCTTACGCACCTACAAGAATAAATGATCAAGTTTTAGTTTAAGAATTGTAATAAATCCACAATGTAGTTTTAGTTTTTAGTTTTATACGGTACTAATTTGAGAATGTTCATCGAGATAAAATTCACTTTACTGTCTACACTGTATTCCTTGTCCACTTATCTGGAGGAATAAGGCATGCAACTTAAGACTTGTAATAAATAGAAAGAAATTACCTACTCACATTTCTTAGGCTCATTACTTTGGAACCATTCCTGGGGCCCGGTTCCACACCTACAAAAGGGAGGCTGCTGCCCTTGCATCATGAATATGAAAGGCGCATTCTCCCTATTACCAGCAAGGAACTCGCGCATGTTCTCAGCAAATTGGGCATTATTCTGCCACTGTTCGAAACAGTTCTTGAAAAATTCTGAAGGATTATCTTTGCTTCGGTTCAAGACATGCTTATTAAAGCACTCTTCGCAGAACACTTGCCCGTAGTAGATTTTGAGATTGTCCTTAGGAATCGCGTGGCAAAAATCTGTAAAGTTAACGTACCATATATTTTTATGAGCCTTTTTTAGACTTTTATTGCAATTTCTTTGGACATCACTTCTATGAATTACTTTTAGCAAAATATTTTTTATACCACTTCGCTAATACTTACAGCACTTCGCGCATTGAGGGTGGAAATGCTGGCCGCCGACATCAACCTTATCGTTGTCATCCACAGCCTGTAAACATCGGGCACAGATGCATTTCTTCGTTGGTTCCTTTTCTTTAGGACTTTCCGCACTCCCTTTCTTCGATTCATCTATAAGAAGTTCTTAAATGAGCGTACTGACTTGATTGCGTTATTAAAAACAGATGAATCCCACTGCATTGCATTGCGACTTGCGACGTATAATAATTTCACGCATCTCACACACGGCAGTCTGATCCCGAACTAGGCAGAGCTTGTGTGCTAGTGTGACCAGAAAGTCAATTCACATAGTAAAAGTTCGGTCACAATTTAGATCCGATCAACTTTCGATCTCACAACTGTCAAAAGCTATTTTAAGTAGCTATTTTTCGTAGTTTTAAGTACTAAACATCCAACGTAGACTAATATTATATCGTATTATAATCGAAAATTGAAACGGGTAATCTTAGTTCTGAGATAGAAAATTGATCGGAACTGAATTCTGAGAACTCTTGTTACGGGAAATGGCCTTTACAAACCTACACATTATATATATAAATTACATAACCACACACAAAACGAATGATCGTGCTCGTTACAATTTGTCCTGGGTAGGTATCGGACCCACGATCTCTGGCTTAGCAGTCAGGGTCAGTAACCACTGGGCCAACAGGCCAATAACTAAGTGTAAAATTTAGGATGAAACTAACTACAGAGTTGAAATTGTGGGTTGTAATGAACTATCGCAATCTATTGCATTCGATATTTTGATATAATTACCTTTGTCCTTATTACTCTCTTCCTTTTCCTTTTCACAAGTTGCTTCTTGAGGCTTCGCCCCGGGCGCCCATTGCATCCACCAACTATTGGAATGCATTCGTGGGTTCTCTCCTCGAAACCTCGACAGCACGTGGGACTTGAAACAGTCGTTGCAAAAAACGTGGCCGTAGAACATCTTCAAAGATGGTGGAATAGTTCGACAAACGCCTGGAACAATTTTGCCAATGCATAAATTATTTTAGTAAAATATTTATGCATAAAACTACCGGGCAGCTCTTAATTCACACATAATTGTAAACGCCGAAATAAGAATATTCGTCATGACGAATATTCTTTATTAAATTTAAACTCACAACACATGCTGCAGATCCTGTGGAAGCTCTGTCCTTCGATATCCACTTTATCTTCGGGATCAATAGGAAGAAAACATCTAGCACAGAAACATTTTCTCGGAGGTTCCTGAGCCTTGTCCATGTTTCAATAAAAGGTTACGTTCAATTTTGATAAGTAAAAAAAAATATAAAGTTAAATTAAGTTGAATATTATTGGAATCAGCAATTTTATTCCATGGCAGTGATAGGGATGCTGGATAATGAATTAGTGTAATGAAATTCGAACTCAAAGAAAGCAGAAGAATCTATTTTGAATCTAACTTTTTTATTAGGAACATCAGCTGACAGTGTTTTCTGCTGGCTAAAAAGTTTAGATCATTTCTAATATAACTTTCTTTTTTCATGTTTACATAGTCTGTTTGTTTTCAGTAGTTACGGTTTTTCAAATGTCCCACTTATGAGAATGGAGCAGCGCTCAGAAAGGTAGATGAAACAGTAATCCTCCTGACTACTGACTTTAGTGAATTTTTAACGTACAATTACGCCAAATTGATGGATTTAGTCAAAATTGCAAATTATTTTTACCACATACTTTACACATTATATTTGAATGTATCTCTGTACTCCCTATTGAAGCACTCGTGAACGACAAATTAACAAGTTTAAATACTTTTTATTTTTTGCATGGAAACCCCTAGCGGTTAACATTTCGCATTAACTCACGTTGAAATGGTATGTCGGGACCGAACCATACGGTGTTCTATCTTATGTGAGCCTTTTTTTAAAGGAACTCGGGTAGAAGGAAGTCACCGAGAATTCCAGCAAATGTTTGCCGCAAATGACATTTACACCAACATTGCGTACAGAGAGTTTTTATTTAAAATGCCAGAGCGGTACACGCTACATCACCCTCTCAAGCATGCTTCTGCTAGGATCACGACCAAACTTATATATTTAAAGAATTGAAGAAGCCTCTAGAGCCATTGCAACCTGCAAGAGTTTTTTTAAGACTAAAAAATTCAGCAGTATTAGTTAAAAAATACTGATCAGTAAGTTTATTTAAATACTCATGTTCAGGAATACTTATACACGGTGATTTTGAAAGCGTTTTGGAAAAGAAAATTTTGAATTATTTATCAGTAACAGAAGTTATATATAACGTTAATTTAATAAAATATTTATATTTTTTATCATCAAAGTCGATATTCATATCGTTTACAGAGAAAAAATGAGAACCAGTAGTAGGGCTATTCAATCACACGTAGGTAAATACTACGAATAGAAATACTATGCGTTTTAATATCGAGTCACATAAAATCGTATTCGCCAATAAAAACAAAGCTACCGAGTTGCGCCGGAGTCGTCCAACCAATGACGTCTGCCCCGTAGGTATTATTCGCCGGAGTGTAGTGCGTGCATACCTGGACAATGAGTTTAGTGATCGGTGGATAAGTCGAGGAGGGCCAGTGCCTTGGCCACCTAGAAGCCCGGACTTAACGCCCCTGGATTTTTTCTTATGGTCGGCAATAAAAAGACTTGTTTATACACGGGAATATGAAAGCCGTGATAATTTACGCATTGCGATAGTGGACGCTTTTGATAAAGTGAAAAGTGATAGAGACACATTAAGAAAATTAAAAAACAATTGCATTAAACGTGGACGTGTTTCATTCATATAAGATAATGAATTAATGATCAGTCCATTACTACTTTCCAAGTCGATCGAGTAAAAATGAATATTAAAACTGAAACTTTTTTTAGACTTTTTTTTATAATTTAGGCAATCGTTGTTCATTGAGGCAGAAATTTAAAGAAATAAATATAATGGCAGTGGCAAGTCAATATATTTATGAAAATGTAATATATGTTCACAAAAATAAAGATAGCTTTTTGAAAAAAAGTGATGTACATGCCATAAATACCAGAAATAAAAATAAATTTGTTGTACCCGCCTCTAGGCTCCAAAAGATAAACAAGTCTTTTCGAGGGCAATGTGTCCGATTTTATAATAAAATCCCAAATAATATTCAGGAGTTGAGTATTAACAAATTTAAATCCGCAATAAAACGTGGCTTGTGCCAGAGGGCCTACTACTCGATTGTGGATTACATGGAGGACAAGAATGCTTGGGATTAATTAGTGCAGGCTATTTCTTCCTTAGGTAAAAATGTGGTGTGGCTAGTATGTTTTTTATTATTATTATTTTTTCTATTTTTTATGTTTCACTTCATTTTCTCTTGTATTCGTTTTTTCTTCTTAATCTTGTTTTCTCTTCGTTGTTTTTTCACCTTTAAGTCCTTAATAACGGACATACTAGCACACATCAAAACAATGTTGTGATATATTTAATAGTGCCATTGTATCTACTTGTGAATTGCAAAAGAGTGGCCATGAGTTTGTTTGCCCTTTCTTCTTATAAGGCTCAACCCCTTGGAAACGGGCGGTTGTAGATCGGCACAGGCATATCATAGATTTTGTATGGGTTTGATTTTTGTTAAATTTATTTGGTTACTATTTGACAAAACAGAGATTGTTGCTTTTGTGTGTGTTGATCTATGACTTTAGAGTCTACATGGAAGACGATTTCAAACAATTTTGGAAATTTTATGAAATAAAGAAAGTTTGAGTTTTTTTTGAGACAACATTACAATTGATTTAATCATTTTTATTGGTACTATAGATGATTCCAAATTAAAATGTTTCGTTTCCAAAACGCCTATAAAATCACCGTGTATAATTGCTTTAATATGATTTCGTTCGTTGTAGTGTATTTCTGCTAATAAACTTAATGAGAGTTTATATGACATCGGACTGGTAATACTTTAAAGATCGTATAGATGGCGCTATTCTTAGTCGACGAAAGTTAAGTTGCACATCACTATTGAAATGACGAACCCTCGATTGTATATATGATTGAATAAAGTATTTGGGCGCGTCACTATTGTGTTGCATATGTGTGTTGTACAAAGTTGTTTGTGTTATCTATCATGTTTTTATCAAAAAAGTGATGTTTGTGAACTTGTATGGGATTAAATCTACGTTTATTTAGTGGTAAAGTGGATCTATTATCTTATCTTTAGCCATATGTTTGCATATAAGCGATAATAAGATAGTTAGCTTAGGTTATAATGAACAACGACCGTTGTGTTTTATCTGTTCATGTTTTTACACTTTTATGATTGAAAAGCTAGTTTAATTGAGCGGATGAAGCAATTAGAGAATAAATAATCCCCAGGGTTATCGTTTTCATAAACTTATAGGGTAATTTGGTGTGATATTTGATTAAAAAATAGCAATTGAACACTAGCTACTGGTTTGTCAAAACGAATAGTTTAACTTTTTTTCTGTCGAGATGACCCCGTTGTTTACTGTTTGGGCTTTAGCCTTTGGCAATGCTAACTGTAAACCAGACGAGTGCTAAAAAACTTCTACGCTGTTACACACTTTTTACGCTCCGTTCGTTGTAGTATGTAAATTTGCATCAAATAAAACGATAAAGACAATGTATAAATTCATTTATTTATTATATATGTTTATTAATGACATGTTAAAATAAAAAAATAAAAACTTTTATAGGTCATGGTTAAGCATAGAATAGACAACATAACATAATGCATAAAATGTTTTATTTCTCTATTATTGATGTTGAGGAATTTCCTCGTCAATCCTGGGCACAAATCAGGTTGTTCATACTACAAAAGTGCAAAGTGTTATCAGAATGAAATTGACATATCACAAACAAAACAAACAAAATTAAAACTTCATAGCATAAGAGTGTTTGGTTTTCATTCCGCCTCCTAGATTTGACCCAAACTATTAAATAAAAAAGTTAAATAAGAACTTGAACAAATGAAACACACTTAATATACATATTGGAACCCGTACGCAAAAAAAAGTCCAACTTAAATTCTGTACCATAGTTTAAAAATGTTCATTAGAACTTTAAAAAAAATGTAAAGCTATCTTCTACTTGAGATAGTATACATTTACTCCAATAAAATAAAATAAAAAAATTACTAGAAATCCTGTAATTTATTTTCATAAAGAAAACAATTATTAAAATGTTATTTTTAAACCGACTTCATTAATTAGTAAGAGTCATGTCAATGATTGAGCCCGAGGTCATGGAGTACTCTCGTTACTGGTCTGACTCAGCCATATTTGGAATTAGATGACTTTGTCAGCGAAGTATCACCTCTTTTACCATTGATTTTTAAAACATCCTTACTAAAATGTTAATGCAAAAGTTTGTCTCTCTGTCTGCTACCTCTTCATGTTTAAACCACTGTACCAATTTAGATGAAATTTGGTATTGAGATAGTTCGAGTCCGGGGCAAGGACAAGGATTTATAACAGAAATCAGACAGAAAAGGTAGTGAAAAGGAGGGTAGAAGTTAGTGTGAGGAATCAAAATCTGCTGATCTGATTTAGATAGTATGGAGATAGTTTGATTCTTGAGGCTAGGAGAAAGGCTACAGAGAAAACCCACATACATGCGGTCAGAGCCGCAGGCAAGAGCTAGTATTGTAATAAAGGGTTTCCCATGATGTGCACAGAATCTATCTTCTATTGTATAGAAAACTACAATTGAACACTACACTATTGTAGTAATCCACATCTATGCAAATAAATAAAGTGGAAGTGTGTTTATAATGTTATAATAACACATTGTTAATAAATGCATCTGAATGTTCATGCAGTATGTAAACAAACAAGTTAATTATTGATAAAAAAAAAAAAAGGTCCCAAGTGTGAGAAAATTTATCTCAAAATTTATAAACTGGCGATTTTTCATATATCCAGTGTCTGTCTCACAATTAAGATTAATCTAACAACACCTCAAGTGCCAAAATCCATTGAAACATTTAGGCTATAGATTGTGCCAAAGGAATATACATTGAAACAAAACATTGAAAACATTCTCCTTTTTGGCGTAGTCGGGTAAAAAGTTTATTTTTACGTTTTTTGTCCGTCCATATGTCAGTCAGTTTGTTACCCCAAATGGGTTGATCAACTTGCACAAGACTTACTGGCATCTGCCATTGTCTGTTTATAACAATGCATATATAGGTGTTTTTAAGAGGAAAAAATAAAGGTACATCAATTTATGAAAACGAATTAAGGTTCCTTGCAAGAAAATAA